AATCGATCGAATAGGATACCGCCGGCATAAATTGAAAATTATTGCATTCTCCTACAATGTTTATTGTCTGGATTACTTTGTTAAGTATTTGTATGATAAGTTGCCTTGTAAAAATGTATCGATTTTACTAAGAAATTAAATGTGTTACTGAAAGAAAACCATGCACGATTTCTCTCCAACTGTTCTTATCAACCTCCGGTCTTTACAACGGAAATGGTAATAGACGGAGTGTAGTTAATAGCCGATTAAGTAGTAAAATTGTAAGTACCGATGAATTTATATAATTTTCACTGTACTTTCTTTGGATAAGACTGACATCGTTTGTATAATGCTTGATAATCCCGTTAGACGTATCGAGATTTATATACGTAAATTAATGTATCTAGGAAAATACATACATGTCTAGATTGCAGAAAGCACTTATATCATACTGTAAATAGTGAATTTACGAAATCGCATTTTCTAGTTCGACATAAGCGTTAGTATTAAGATCCTAGCTGATATAGAATTATCTTGAAAGAATATACTTATATAAATATATATACATATATATATATAATAAAAAGTGCAACATATATAAAAAATGAGATTTTAAGCTCTTTAAAAATTCTGTTTTTAAATTCCCTGTTAATACATTACATCTTTAATAATGGGATTCTATAAAATATTTCGTGCTACTTGTTATCATCCTTTAATTCTTTTTTTTTTTTTTTTTTTTCAATCTATCGTTCTCATATAATTAGAATATGTGATATTGATCTATAATTTTTGTGTAGCTATTTTTGACTACAAAATACTTTTCCTAAATGTATATTATGTTTAATGGGAAGATTGATCTTCTAAATTTTTCAAATTCCATGATTAGCATAGTTAGTCTGATTTTGAATTTCATTTGTATCACATGTAATCAGTGATATTTAAACTGAATATTATTATTGAATAATATTGAAATAATTGTATTGAATTGAAACGCTAATAGTCATATGCAGTAGTAACAATAAATGAATAATATGAATGTCGCTCATAATATTTAAACTTATACATTTAATATAATAATTAGTTTAGCTATAATTAGTTCAATGCAGTAAGCGGATGTTGTAAAAAGTGTTGTAATATAATTTAATTATCAATTATATAATCACGTTGAAAAATGAATGGCAAAACATTTGGCAACAAGAAAAAGATAAATAAAAACTTTATCCATAATTAAAATATTTTCATTCATATCTAATATTTTAATATTATTATAATCATAAATTGAGAAAAAATTATAATTAAATTGTAATAAACAGTATACATGGCGAGATTTTCGTAAGATTAAAAAATTTGCGGTTTTATTTCTGCTAAACTGCAAAATTAATGTTGTTATATTTTAATTAGACTAAACAGTATTGATTTTATAATATTAGACAAGAAATTTTTCATAAATGTGATTATACGACAAGTACGAAATAAAACTTTTAACAGTCAAGCTGATTTCGATGCGCAGTTTAACGGACTACATAATTATTATGTATATAAAATTCATATTGAATTATCTTAGCACTTATGTGATCCAGTTTGATCGCTTTATTCTATATTTGTTATTAATTTTATAACTTACAATTATTTTAATATTTTGTCATACATACATGTTTGTACGATCACTTTCTTTTCTTTCTGTATAATTGTTTTTTAAATTATTTATTTGTTTTGGATCATTGCTTCTATCTTTTTGGCAACATTTTGGTAGGATTAATGGTTGCATAATATTTATTTACTATTGTTGCTAAAATATTCTTTTTTATTTATTAAAATCGTTTACGTAAAACTAAATTGTTAATATAATGTATTTATTACAAAATATTACATTTACAAATCAAATTAAATGAAATATTTCATAAAAATAATTATAGAATATTTTATAAAAATATTAATATATGTTTATGTAGTTAACATTCAGAGTGTTGATCAAAAGCTCGATATATATACTATAATATAGTATACAAGGTAATCCGAAATTCGCGAATTCGGAGTACAGGACATTATACTTTATGCTCTAAATATCTATACTTTATGCTCTAGATATCTTATCTTAAATAATAAGAAAAAGCTATGAACAATATCGGCATTTGACCATTTTTCATATTGAGTTGCATAAATGATGAAAAGTTAATGAAATAAATACTGCCTTTATTTCTTACATAATACATGAATAAAAAATTATTTGCTTGCATAATAATAATGTGAAAATAAAGACAAATGTAAATAATAATATGCTTCGCGAGCGTTCTTTTATTTCAAATATTGTACAATTACGTGATAGTTAAACAGTATCATTAAACTTAAAGAATAAACTTAAATTTATTGATCAAACGAGTACATTTGTGACTAAAGTAAAGTAAAATCGTCCGGCTAAAGCTATAATAATAAAGCAGACAACAATTCGTAAGTACTTGTGATGTAAGAAGATGTTCTCCGGTTTTACTTGACACGAGATACTACATATATAATACTAGTCTATATTCAGAACGCGTTTTTATTGATAAAAGCGCGTTTTTATCCCTAAAATTCTATAGTATGCGTAACGAAAACTATAGCATGTTAACATCGTTGTAAGCGCGTTCTGAATACGGGCCACTGTGTCTCTTAATTAGTCTGCATCTTAATACTGCATTTTCTTTCTTAAATATTTTAATTATTTTTCATATTCGAAATTATTTAATAACCATCTTATTATTGTATATTTTGAGGTCTAGCAGCGCCAAGTTTTTTGTACTTTTACTTTTTGAAATAAAGTATATGTTATATATGTGGCAAGAAAATATATTCCTTTCACAATTATAATTGGCGCAATCTAAAAAGATTTCATTTTATTTTGTGAGGCTAACACGCACACTTGGCGCTTTTTTCCTTTTTTTAAAAAAGGTAATTTTGTTGAGATAACATTTACATGTAATTAATATAGAATAGACTTATAAAATATGTACTGATCTTCTTTTTTTGGGGTGAAATTATACATTGTATGTCCGTGAGTATCCGGAAAAAGATTGAAATAGATTCATTTGGTCGTTGCTAAATCCAAATTCTTGATTTTTTAAATCAATTTCAATTCATTAAATGTTTGAATCTATTTTAATCCATAATTTGGAATTGAAACTACGAGATTGCTATTCCTTTCAATCGAAAAAAAGTTTTACGCAAAAAATGTGACACGCAATCCATTTTAATCTATGAAGTGAGATTGAATTTACAGAATTTGTATTCTTTTCAATCGATAAAAAATTTTGCGAAAAATATAAGCCATGCAATTCATTTTAATCCATGACATAGGATTGAAAAAACGTAATTCTTATTCTTTTAATCCAATGCAGGTTTGAGAGCTTTAAATCCATTTTTGTCCATAATACAAGATTGGAAGAAAGTGAGTCTTATTCTTTTCAATCGAAAAAAAATCTTACTAAAAAGGATGTTACGAAATTTAAACGTCAAAACTTCGGGAGCGTAGGGGGAATCGAAAACTAAAAGAAAGTCCTGTAGGAATATGTTCGTTTTTATTACTTTTCTATTACTTATTCATTTGCTTAATATAGATATTGCTCAAAATGTTGGCCTCTTGCAACAATGCAAGCATTGCATCTAGTACGGACAGCTCGTGTTACAACTATAAACACTGATTTAGCAATATTTGGTGCCTAAAAGTCCTGAGATTTTTGTAAGCCCATATATGATAATTTCTTTGATTAATAATTCCTCCTCTTGTAAATGTAACATCGTTCGTACAGATTATTTTTGATAGAAATGAATTATCATTGTTAGATTGCTCAAAAAACTAATTGCTAAAATTCAACCTTTTGAAATAATTCTGATGAGGTAATGAATTTTGCACTTTTTGAATATATTATGATACGGATGGCGGTTATCATCTCTTAGGCCTGTTATAAAATAGAATCACAATTTGTAAACCGTAAAAAGCTGATCGATTATTTTTGTCATATTCAACTGTAATTAGTCAATTTTTCTTACGACTTACGAATTACGAATCTATTATGTAATAGGTCTTAAAGTATGGCAGATTTTGTGCCGTGGTAATCGTAATGCAGCTGATGTTCTCCGGACACTGATCTTGAGATTGTTATCAAAGTAGCACAGGACACAATTTTCTACTTTGACGAATTGAAAATGAGCCAGCCTCTTGCAGCCTATTAAAAACTATTATAATGACTCGCCGATTCGGCACCCTTCTGTTTGGAAATCGGCGTGCATATTTTCCTACCGCCCGCCTCCGTAGTACATCCAACCTCCGCCGTCGTAGATATCAAACACGAAACCATATCAGCATATTCAACGTTAGAATATGTACGCGGCATATTGTAATTCACTCAATAGCTTCTAACGAGTAACTGATGAATTTATAGAAGAAAGGCAGAAATATGTAAACAAGAAAATTTTCACCTAAAAACGGAATTACTTAATGTTAAAATTAATTTAATATTACTTTGTTAAAATTAATATTTTTGCATATCTTAGAAAGTCCACTATACACCTTTGAGTTAAAATTAATATGATATATTATTTTTTATAGTGTATTATTGTTTTCGTATACAAAATTTAGACAATAATACTTTAAAAGTAGTGCAAGAACAAAGTAACTACGTTTTGTTTTTTTATGATTTTTTTCCAAAACGAAACAAAAACGAACTCTATTTCTACAGGGGAGGGGGGACTTTTTTTCTTATCAATTTTCTTTATCAATCCCTTACATGCTCTCGAAGTTTTGAGATTTAAATTTCGGATACCCTGTATACAATACACACATATATATATATATGTATATATATATATATATATATATGCATAATTTATTTTTAGATACATGGTTATTTATTAATTAACGAAACAAAAGGAGTTTTTGGTATGTAGGAATCTTTATTGTGCTTTTCTTGCTTTTGACGTTACGATTTAAAATAGTAGTAATGGTAACAGTAAGTAAACAGAAGTCTTATATAATGTATAATAACAAAGGTATTCTGTTTTATATTTTTACAAAAATCATCTGTTTAGTGAGTTAAATCTTGCTTAGACGCGGATTACCTGTAGCTGCTATTACAGACTAAACATATGCTTTTCAAGACCAACTATAATAAGAAAATCATTCATATGATTGTTAATATTAATGCGAATGATTCACATAATTTATAAATTATATATCTTGTTCCTACCTGGTGAAAAATAAAACAATTTTAGAAGTTTATATCGTTGGCAAATAGAAAAAAATTCGTCGAAAACTAAACTCTAGATTTGATAATCATCCATTGTTTTTCTGACTGTCTATATCCCGTAAGTGATTAGACAATAATTCCCATTTCGACGCCCATGGAGGCTTGTCTAATCCTTGAGTATTAACTTCTTCTATCAAGTTCATCAGGCGAATGAAGAATTCATTGAGCTTACCAGCGGTACCGCGTCGCAATTTCTGGAAATGTTTATCTGAAATCCAAGGTTTAACGATATCAAAAAGCTATATATATTTCTATGTTAGTATTAAACTGTTCAATAGCGACAGAACAACAAAAGTTTGTATCTATAAGTTTGTGTTCTTTGCAGTGTCGTCATAAAGATTATCGATATTGAAATATAAATAGGATAAAAGCGTACTGTGGACAAATCGATATTTCTGGGGATCGTGATATGACGCAAATGAGGTATAGCATTGATGGATAGGACACAATTATACCACGTGTCTCTAAACATCTTTAAGCAAATATTATTTTTGGAGACTATTTTAAAGATTACTATTCTGATTATATATTATTTTAGACAGTGTGACATTTATTATGTTATATTATTTAATAAAGTAATTGTTAATTAAAAATTGCAAGCGATTAAAATGTACACATACGTGGAGGATGAAAATAATTTTTGATCCAAATTGTTTGCTGCGTCAGTGCCGCCATTAGCCTTTTAGTAATTAAACTCTGGCTCTCAGCTGTCACAGGTCTTAAGCGAGTAATGAATCGCAAAAGATATTCCAATAAATATCTTGTACAAACAGATAGCTTTTCAAGGCATCGTTGCGGCTTTGAACTCCATACGACAATGTAACTGAGGCTGTCAACGTCAAGAAGAGGATGCTTGAGACTTTCCAACCATTCGAATAACAGTGCTGATAGTAATTCCAAATTAGATTCCAATTCTAATCGCTGCCAAGCAGTACATCGATGATTCAAGTCACTCTGAAAATATATTTTTAATATTATTGTCTATTATATATATAATAAAACGCGCGTATCTCGTTATGAATAGATTATTACGTTTATTACAATATCAGATAAATTATTACTGTACATTATAATGTGTACCTTCCAACAAGCGACATAGTACAACACAGTGATCATCTCATTTTTGTTTAACCTTGGCGAACAACAAGGATGTACTGATATACTGTATCACACCGTGTCATCTGTGTCGCTTGTTGGAAGGCACACAATGTATATATTATTTATAGTTAATATTTATTTTCTATAATTTTTTTTGAATATATCATTATGTTACACTTTTTGAACAATCTAATTGCTCTATGCTATTTCACAAACCAAAATTAAAAATATTTCTATTTTTCTTTTAAAATTTCGGTTATTATTTCTTAATTCAACATACATTCGATTGTTATAACTCCTGCAAGTGGTACGGTAATATGTGTAACTAAAAATTGTGTCTTTAACCTAACTAGGATTAATCATAATAATTGCAATTTGATTGCAGTTTTAAAAATAGAATTACACACAGTCACACATATTATATACAGCATAGTAAATCCGCGTTGTACGCTAAATTGATTCATTCTGTCAGTAAGCATATAGCTCATGTTCACTATTCATTATTTATCATTCTAGAGACAACTGTAAGCTTCAAGAAATTATATACGTTTGAAATAACTGAATGAATAATTCGTATATAAATGTGGTAATTAATGTACACGCTGGAAATAGTGTAATGTCTAAATTTTTGTATAGATATAAAATACACCTGATAATTTTGCAACCGTTTTTTTATAGGATCAGGAAGCGAAGCACTATCTCTGATGAGCGCTTTGATAGCTTCCTCGGCCGTCACTGTTTCGTAATCATTACGGGAGACGCTTCTTAAGTCCATATGCGACTGAATCTCTTTGTAACAGTCATTGTCAAGCAGATCCTGATCGTGAATGCCGTCACCTAGGACATCATCCACGCAAATGTCGTCTAGACCTGTTTACAGTATACAAGATCCCATTGTAAAATGTGCGCATTATTTTAGCAAGATATCATCGAAATAAATGTAGATTATTGTAGATGGCACCATCGAAAGAATTACATGGAATTAAATTTGTTAATAATATACCTGGAAATGTAGAATCGCAGGAAGGAGTATCTGGTGACATGCAAAATACGTCACTTAATCTTCCTATATCATCACAGATATCTCTGGACGAGCCTTGACTACTACTGCACGCTTTTGTGGAAGCTAAAATAAATAATATATAAATATAACATATACAGTAGCGCTTATAAACATTTTGACAGTAATCTTCGTTTTCCAAGATGTACATTATTATAAATAAATCAAGAATAAATAAATTAATCAATAAATTAAAAAATATATCACATATTTACTTTATCTTTTGAGTATTTAAATAAAAAATAGATATGTAATAGGTATTAATTAAAAGTGAACGTTCCACAAACAATTCAATTATATACTCAATCGCATAATCTCATAGGCAAAGGTTAATTTCACAAATTGCTTAATTATTAAATTACATGTAATACTTCTCACTTGAGTATTCGTAGGAGTCCGTAAGGGATTCCGCCCACGAATAGGAGTGTCGCATATTACCCTTGCTGTCACGGAATTTCTCCAAAACATGACAAATAAACTTTTGAGTAAAAGGCACGTTGGAAATCGTATATGCAATCTCGGAAGCCGAATTATCTTCTTGACAATCGCAGAGCTGTAGTATCCGCTCGCAAATAATAAAAACGATCTAAGAAATACACAGTTAATGAATCAGGAAGTAATAAAATTATGTATAAGGGACTCTTGTTGATAAATAAATTTAAAAATGAATAAAGGGCATAAGAGTCAAAAATTAAAACTAATCTTATATGTCGATTTAAAAAAAAATTTTTATTACGAAGATAAAATAGAAGATTGATGTTCTTAACAATATAATATGATATTGACATTAGAATTACATGTTTCGGCTTCTACATTGAGCCATCTTTAGATCTTCAACATCAAAAATATAAAAATAAAATAGAGTTGTGGATCCACGCAGTGGATGTACCAGTTAAGAATTCTCCGATGAATAAAACTTCGACAAATCAACTGTTCTAATGTAATTGGTCGACTGATGTCGATTATTCTAATGTCAATATCAGATTATATTGTTAAGAACATCAATCTTCTATTTTATCTTCGTAATAAAAATTTGTTTAAAAATTGACATATAAGATTAGTTTTAATTTTTGACTCTTATGCCCTTTATTCATTTTTAAATTTATGAATCAGGAAGTTACATTTTGTGTAGCTAGTCTTAATAACAACAACGGAAAATTAATATACACTCCCAGCAAACTCCAAGTTATGTGTAGTTAACATGTACGCGTTATACTATATTATAGTTATACTGTTGAGTGGGAAATTACAACTAATATGTATACGCTACATGTAACTTAGTGTTTGCTGGGCTCGTTTACGTGAAAATAGTTAACCGAAACTACTACGCCGAAAAGATTATATACATTAAAATAAAGGCTAAAGTGAATCAAAGATATTTTATTTACTTTTTACTAATATTTTTAAATATTTTTAATCATATATTATTTTTTTCTAAGAATTAAATTTAAAAAATTTAATTCTGATGTATTTATTAATGATACCAATAAGATTTATAAATAAAAATAGATGAGAACACAAATTAAATTCTATCAGTAATTAAATTAACAAAAGAATTGATTTAAAAACAGAATTAATATTACATGTGAATCTAAATCACATAAATTAAATTGTGAGAAAAAACAGAATGTTTCGCACTTTTGGAATATGCTTGAAGGTGCGCTGTTCATATCCGTGTAGCATGTTGTATTGCTTTTTCAGGTACGATTGAAGGCTATAGGGTTTGCGATCCCCCGTTGTACTGTGCGAAGGGAATACTATCATTTGTGGAAGCACAAAGTGCTCGAATTCCTGAATACAAATTATTTGCCCACGCGTTTGTATAGCGGAGGGACGCTTCATGCGAACAAATCTAATGGCATCGTTCGCCCTTACACGAAGACTGTAAATAAGGTAGCACGCTATCAGAACACCGGTTCTGCCGAGACCTGAAAATAAAATACTTTCGGTACTTCTATTACTGCTAGCTTAATTGCAGATTCATTAATCAAGTAGAAGCACGTACAAGCAAGCAAATTATATGTACAACAATCCAAGCGCCAAAAGTTTACTCTTAACCATAAGAAAAGTGATAGACATATATGTCATGTATAATTATGTCATTGTGTATAAAAAATTATATATAAAAAAGTAATCGTATTTTATAACATTTATCAAGAAAGTGAAAAGGAGCGATCGCAATTTTAGATTACATGTAGATTGAGATAAGAAATGGAAGCCCACCATTTCCATCAACTATAGGTAAGCGCGAAAATATTCTTCGCATTTTAGATTCCAAGAATAGAAAGGATAGGTCACGTTAAGTAATCGTGCTAGCGACAAAGCATTATTTTATCGATTTAAAAAGATTTTATAATGATTAATAAATATCACACCTCTGGAAATAAAAATGTCAATTGCAGTCGAAACCGAAAGCGAGAACTTATACGTATATGTGGTGACATATTTCTTAGATGATATCTGATCGACATTAACAATGCTAAAATCTCGTACAATTTTATTCTATAATTAAATCACGTAGCATGCATGCAAGACATTGCTACAGTTGCAGCACGCTGATCAATTCAACTGATCGCGATAACTGCGGCGTGGATAAATTCTACAATTTAACTTTCCTAATCGCGTTTGTTACGCGTTGTTATCTTTTAAATCCTTCTGCTACATTTGATCAATTTTAATTCTTAAAAGCGATTATCAGTAACAGACTAAGAATATTAGAATTAAAATCAATAACATGTCATAATAATCTCTCTTTGTTTTTTAGTAACCAAAAAGATTTGAGAGAACGTAATTACGAATAAACAATGTTTTGATAAAAATTATAATTCTGTGTTCTTCATAATTTAATTCCGTATGTGACTTTCTGTGTAAGTCAATATTAATACTTTTAACAAAAAAGTGATTATGAATTTATGATAATTTTGAAGCAATCATTACAAAGAAATTGATCGATCAATCAGAATAGACGCCTGCCACGTATAATGTTACTTTAAATAATAGTGGAACCCTAGCATAAATTAACATAGTTAATATAATATTTAAGTAAAAATTTCATATTAATGTTTAATAGAAAAAAGAATACAAAACACATATTACCTTTGAAACAAATAGTAAGATAAAAATATCAGAATATTTTTGAGGAAAATATTTAAACTTGCAATTAGTTATATACACTGCAATTTATATAAAGTTAAATTTATAATTAATATTTTATAACTTTTAATAACAAAACAACATTGAATTTACACTTACAAATAAAATTAAAAATTATTAACGTATTCAGAGCCACAGGTAATTCCATTTAAATAGCAATTTTCTTTCTGAATGCATTATATGACATAAGATGATTACATATTAATTTGTCACAGCTGACCTTAATGACCATAATCTTTATATCTCTAACTTCTATTATACGATAATTAGCAACTAGTACATTTAGACACAGCTTTCCGTAAACATACGAGATATATTGAAATGAATATTTTCTTCATAATACTTAATACATTATTTATTACATAACAAACGTAATACAGCGATACAAGTTTAAATATATTCATATTTTAAATTATTTAATCTCATTAATGTTTAAGTAAAATTTTCGAATTAATATTTTTAATAGAGAAAAAATATAAAATATATAAGTATAAATTACTTTTAAAAGAAGTAAAATACACAAAATGAAAAACAAAATATTTTCAAGGAAAATTTTTAATTATATGCCTAGATAATTTACGTTTGTAACTTTTCAAAAATATATTACTAAGTTCGAGATCGCTTATCGTTATACCAGCATTTTATGCTTTAATAGTCTAATGGAATAAAACTCCCTTGCGACCAGATAATGTCTGTGAAACTAAATTATGTTAAATGGAACGCAACAGTCTTACATTAGTTTATTATCTTTATCACCTTTAATATATTTATTAATAATTATATGTCCTAACCCAATTAATTAAAATTATTACAACAGATAGCACTGACTTTTTTATACATCACGTTATTTTTAGTCAAATAATTATTCAATAATTATTATTAATGCAAAGAGCATTATAAAAAGAACACGTACTATATTTAATAAATTAATTTATAATAAATATTAATTGCTAAGTAGCAAATTATATATTTATTTATAATAAAATAACTTGAACTTTTTTAGCGTAAAACGATTAACATAAAAATATTGATAAAATTATATTACATATATTGTTTTGTGAATTAAATTCTGTCTTATATATATATATATACGTATGATTATTTTATTGGTTGACTTTGCATACATGCAATACAGAACAATATCATGATAAATAACATGATAACATGATAAATTCTTTCTAACCGTTTCTTAAATCAATACATTTGAAATTTACAGATCACTCGTTAAAATACAAACAAATTAATAAAAATTTTAGTAAAAATTTTAATAAAATATTAACGTAAAGTATTAATAAATAAATAGTGATCAATAAAAAATCTAATATAACAGATTTATAAATAATAACGAAAAGATACTAAAAAATTTTAAGCCAGGTAATTGGAAATTTTATGGAAAGTATGATATATTGTTTTATTTAATATAGAATACTGTATGTGCACTCATATATTTTTTTAATTAATTCAATTTGTAGCCAAATACATTTAAATAGTGCAAAAAAATTATTAACAATCACACAAAAATAATTACAATTACAATTAAATAATAGAAAATTGAAAAATTAAAGAAATAAGCCAAAATCGTCCAACAGAGAAATTGAATAAGATTTGAGGCTTAAACCCTTAATTTGAAGAAGCAGTGTTTCTTAGACTAAAATTTATGCATCTACATACATCGATCTCATACGATCATACATTCAAAAAAGCTGCCATGATAACTGCAGGGGATGCAATTGGGTCAAGTGCACTGCACGAAAAATCGATTTACCGGCATGACAGTGAATGGCCACTCTTCCTTCTTGCACGGCAAAGGCCACAACCTTGACCATGTCCAAAAGTTTCCCCACCGTGGCACTACCATAATCCTTTAGGGCGAAATTATAATAATAAACTGCAACAGATTTTCACGTGATCGGTAATTGAAACACTTTGATGCCAAGACTTTCCTGTGATAGCAGGAAGTAACTAAATAAGTGACACAGAATTATATTTTGGAACTTTCCTTTCTCTCTATAGATATACACTTTTACTGCATTGCATGTTATATTGTGAAACTCTTCGATCTAACTGGTGGTTGTTAGGATCGAGGGAGAAACGTTCCCACACAATTCTATATGCGTTTAATACAAGGACAAAATTCTCTCTATTCTATTTTCACTATTATTCTTCTTAATTTATTGTAAAAGTAAAATTACCGCCGTCTTATTTCGATATTATTATTATTATGTAGTCTAGATATTATCATGTAAATGCGAAATGCAAAAAAAGTAATATTGATTTAAGTAAATAGCCTATTTATCAGTATATATTTACAATGTACTGATACTGGAAATGATTTCTGTTATAACACTAATTTAATTTATCACTTAATGACAAAAAGTATTGATAACAAATATGATATTAATTTTTAAAGATTCAAGAAGATTATTAACTTATAAATTCTATAGACTAGTCTTGTTTTTGTTTCAAAGATATATTATAAAAAGCAGAATAAACGTATTCTTTAAATTATTCTCGATGACTAAGAAATAAACACTGCAAATAAGCTTCTAATAAATATTTATTAAATTAAATAAAAGTAAATTTTAATACTTACTATCGTTTTTCATAAAAATGTTGGGATCGTACGTAAAGCCGCTCTCTTCTAGCGGACCACCGCAACTCGCATGTTCACCTGGTGTTTGCAGATTTATTATGGTTTTTATACTCCACCCTTGGAATTGGGCAATTATATCTTTTTTGATTATCTGCGCAGTATTGAGCCGTGCCATTGCAAGGACATCATCAGTTACCCTAAAACGTTTAATAAATGATTAAACTGTTTAAATCAAAAACTAATACTCAAAACTGGCAGCAATATACACAATAACAAATTTCTGACTAT